GGATGGAAACCTAGCCAAAGTTGACCACAGCTCTAGCACTCACTAACTACACATTGGAACACAAGGAAGGTTTCCACAGCACACATGCCGCCCCCCCTCCGAAAAAAAAAGCTTTCCTCAGTATCCTCCCTTAAATTGTAGTTTGGGGTAAAATCGATTCTCCAGAAACCCAGTAGATTAAGCTTGTGTTACGAGCCAATCCTGGTAAACAACTGTGTATAGCAAATACAGGCAAAGAAACCTGTGTCTCCATTTGATTTACAGGTTGTGTACCACCGCTGGAAACAATTCAACAACAAAAACACAAAGCCAGTACCACCGGGGTTCTTCCATGGGGTAAACAAGCGGAGAATTTCCACCCAAGTTCTGAGCTGGTGTGCCACAGCTTCCTGTCCACAAGAACAACAGCAACAGTCTCCCCAAATGATCCCCCAAACTGTCTCCCCAAACTGTCTCCCCAAATGATCCCCCCAAACTGTCTCCCCAAATGATCCCCCTAAACTGTCTCCCCAAATGATCCCCCCAAACTGTCTCCCCCCAAACTGTCTCCCCAAATGATCCCCCAAACTGTCTCCCCAATCCTCGTCTACACCAACAACACTTGCTTCCCCTTCTATGACTGTCCCACTTCCGTAGGTGCAGGGGATATTTCACATCCCACCCTCTCCCACACCCCACTCCCTCACATCTCTCTCTCCCTCATACTCCCCATTTTCTCTCCCTCTCTCCCTCCCACACCTCCCTCTCTCCCTCACCACAATGTGGGTAAAAAACAAGACCTATGTTTGAGGCGTGCTCCGGCCTTGGTCTACCAAGGAATCATTTCCCTTCTCTCTAACCAACAGATTCAAGCTGTGTTCTCGAGCTGACAGCTTGGTTGGCTTCAGAGGGACAAACCTTGGATAGATCACACTTCCTTACACACACAGGGACGCCCGGCTCCCCCACTGCCCACACACGGGGACGCCCGGCTCCCCCACTGCCCACACATGGGGACGCCCGGCTCCCCCACTGCCCACACACA